CGTACGTAGGTACCACACTTACCCGGGGAATGGGTTTGAGCTCATTAATACCCACTTGAATGGGGAACATCCCTTTAAGAATTCAGCTTTCTACCTTCTCAGATCCCCGAGTTATAAACTTACCGGAAGAATACTTTGGCAGGCCCATACGTGGATACCACGCTTACCCGGGGAATGGGTTTGAGCTCATTAATACCCACTTGGACGGGAAACATTGCCCTAAGATTTCAGCTTTCTAGCTTCTCAGATCCCCGAGTTATGAACTTACTCGTAGAAAACTTTGGCGGGCTCTTAGGTGAGTACCACGCTGGTAATAGCGCCCATCTTGGAGACTGGAGCCCGTACGTGCATGTAGATTAAGTTTCCAAAGTTTCAACCCTGTAGCTTTTGTAGGTTTTGAGATGAAAATGCGTGACAGACGCACACACAGACAACCCCCCGTCAATATGCGTTTTCTGCATTGCATGGCAAAAATAAGCAAACGTTTCCAAGTGCTTGTTCTTTCGCGTCAATGGCGTAAGCTTAAACAACGTACAGAGTTGTTCAATTCACAGAAGAGCAGGGAAAAGCATGTCTGGAATTTTCTCAGTGAATAAAATGTCTGTTAACAAAATTTATTTTGTTTTCTGACTGGTACTTCAGTGATCAACTATATTAGCAAGATCATCCTGGGCCAGCACTCGTTCTGGGGTTTCGACGGAACTGATGCTTCGAGGTTAAATCCATGCGCCCGGGCAAGCTGTGCACTCATTTCGATGGCTCGAGCTTAGACCCACAATCTTTACCATGACCTTCACCTGAATAGGCCTTTACTTTCTGTATGGGATGTCCCGCATCTGTGGTCATTGCTTTTAATACGATTGGAAAAAGTGGACATATTCTTTTCGGCCGGCAGGCTTAAATTTTGATCATACTATGAAAGCGACTGTCTCTCGACATACAGTCTTTTGCTGGAGATTGTGACGCTTGTGACGCATTCTTGCTTTCTGAGTGAAGTTGACGTAACTGGTAATTTCTTCTGGAACAACATCTTTTATCTACAGCTTTGCTTCAGACATCCCGGCGCTTTGCATTACCTAAGTTTTCACTGTATTCATTTTCACGCCCATTAGCCTACTTCGTACTTTAGGTTCCTTCAATATTTCATTCATTCGACGAATACTTAGCGCAACAAGACATTTTTGAGTCAGAGGTAGACCAAAGCTGGATCAATGATAGTTCAAAGTCCATCAGTGTCCCCTCAACATCTCATTCGGAATATTACACCAGCTTGGATGCTAAATTACTATCCAAACACTAAAGCAGATAGCTTATTTCGAGGATTCGCCCAAATCTGAGAGCATGGGTTTAGTTGGAGCAGAAGATACTGTAACACGTTTGGTATAACATTGTGATTTGGCCATACCACTAAAAATCAAGGGCAAATAAAAGCCACACGAAACGCTAGGCAACCTTTCGAACGTGTGAGCTTGGGAATTGAAAAAAGCCGAGTATGAGGTATTTCTGGCCGCAGAGGTCAAGGTTGGCTTTATACCCCAAGTTGATCACTACATTCGATGCTAAGTTTAAACTTGGCTCAATAGCTGAGTTAAATGGTCCTCAATGCGTAAAAAGATGTGTTTGCTGTGTTAGTGCCAAATTCTTGCCTCTGTATGCAAAATGCCGACCCTGGCAGGACTCGAACCTGCAATCTTCGGATCCGAAGTCCGACGCCTTATCCATTAGGCCACAAGGCCCATGTTCTGATCTGTTCAGCAATAAAAATTGATTTTCAATTGCTGTAGAATTAAATTAGTGTGAAATTCAACTCGGAATGGCTTGGAATTCGTTGGTGTTGCAGTGGTTGGGTTTCTGTACCAATTCTTTGGGGTGTGGGAAGGTAAGAAGAAAGGGAGCGTAGGCGGGAGAGGATGGCACGAGCGGAGGAAGAGGCTGAAGGAGGGGAATGGATGTCCAGCGAGTCCGAGAACCAGCACTGCTAATGAGGCCAGTAAAGGGTGTTCTAGTCTTTTCTCATGACTGGACAAAAAAACTCAATGGATGATAACCGGGAAAAACAGGCATGTGCTGCTCGTCCATCCATTCTTGCGCTTGAAATTCGGACGATAGCTGATCTATTCGCTCGCTAATACATCGTTCTGCTCTTGCACTGGCCTCTTCAATGGCTCCAAGTACTGCTCCTGTGCTAAATATGCATCCTCGACCGATTAGAATTCAGGAAAGTGTGTTGTAACACAAAATGTTATCTATTGGTTTCGCCCTAATAAAGAGAGTGAAAAATATATTTTTTAATATTTTCGTGAAAAGTATATTTTACGTATACATTTTGAGATACTAACTGAAGGCATGCAGCTTTAGGATCAAGAGGCCTGGCACAGCTGTACTCGGCGTGTAAGAGCATCCTACTAACGTCACTAACAGGGGGTACCTGCACTGATAGCCCGAGTCAGTCTTGGTATTGCTGATATATTTTGAGATATGACTGAGCGGAAAATATATTTTAGTGATGGGTTGAGTGAAGTGAGCAGCGATAGGATATAAATGAGGAAAATCGAAAACAGGTCGTTTGGTAAACGGAAAATTAACAGACAAACGCAGCAGATCGTTGAACGACACATGCGCTATGTGAACCAAACGTTGGAAGGTCACTAATAAGACAAAAGGCTCTATTTGTCCCAGCAACGGAGTCGAACTCTCATATTTCTGAAATGCCCTGCGCTTTCTTGTAAGTAACTTGCATCTTCACAAAAATCAAATTACAAATGCGTGAGAAGCACCTGCTAAGAATACGTATGGCGCTTTTGATAAGGCCACGCTCAACTACAGCGGTAAATTTACGCATCTGTGTGCAAATTTTGTCCCCAATATCGCAGAGTGGCTCTGTGTTGGCATGTGCCGAATAATTGAGCTGCACAATCGGCAGCATGCCGCCCAATGTGAATAACTGACTAAGAAATGATGGAAGGACATGCTTTCTGCATTGATATGTACTGATAGCAAGTAGCCCTCGATATGACGCCAAAGTCAATCAGAAGCACGCTGGTTATATCGCACTGACCATTTGCTACGGAAAAAACTGGTGCACAAATTTACGGAAACTTCCGTACCAGGTCAAAGGTCTTTCTACCCTTTACTTATTGAAGCAAATGGTCTATTCAAAGAAAATAAGTGGCGACGCAGAGGCTTGCCAGTGCTTGCATATGTTTCTGTGCCAAACATGAAGCATTCAAATAGCAAACAACATGAATGGTGTCTGCTTTACGGTTTAACACATGAACTCATGTTGGGTGTGTTTTAGTCTTTTCTTGCATACAAGGGAAAGGGGAAACGGCTGGAATGATAGCGCTGTACAACGGGGCCTTATCAAAACTTAATCTCCAACATTCGTGGTTATGCAAATTTGCGTGAACGGAGATAAATAATTTACAATTACCGACTATTCATCGAAAAGTGCAAATTCGGCAATGAACAGGATTTCGAGAGAGAAGGATGGCGATATCTGTAAAACGTAATTGTTTTTGACGATGCAATAAAACTGAGTATTTGTTATATCCATTTGACCCACATGTAGCGTTTAGGCTATATATGAATATAGAATAAAGTTTCAGCTTCGTTTCTTTTCGATAAGCGGATGGCCGCTTCGCT